TACACGACGCTCTTCCGATCTCCCCAAAACCCCAAAACCCCAAAACCCCTGGTTATAAATATTTCGATTATTGAGAATAAAAATTATTGTTTAGATTTGAAAGGTTTTTAATACAATTAATCTATATTATGGAGTGAGTATAAGCTTTGAGTATTCTTGAGTGCAAGCATCAATATTTACAGGGGCTACACTCAAGGAAACTGATTTTAACTTAATAAAAAGTTTATATTCAATATGAAGGGCCGTTTTGAATCTTCATAGTGGTTGTGTTCTATGTTTAGTAAAATTTGAAACTCTTAAGTTCCTCTCCATAGATCTACCTCAAGTTTCTGAGGTTGGGATATATGGCATCGAAAGTCTTTATAAATTTAAGTAATTGCATCACTTTTTCGTTGACATCGGTCATGCTTAGATCAGCGAAGGCGGAGATCTTGGCTATCAGGGTTTCAACGTCTGCCTTGCCTGCTTGAATCACTCCATGTCTGAGAGCTAGCGTGAGAATGCTCGCAGCCATGAGTGATGTTGGTGCTTGTTGCATCTCGTAAGAGAAGCAAGTCATTTTAGCTAAGCACATTAGTTATCTACTTAAATTTTCTGTTTTATGAAGTGACTCTCCAATTTCTACTAAGAATCTGTCTAGGAACTCTTTAATAGTGGGAGAACCGATTTTATATTGAAGCATTTGAAGCATTTCGAGCTCCTTGTCTTGAATTGTAGCCAAATCGAATTTACTGTGCCCGATTTTGTTAATTACTGTTTTCATCATGAGAGGAACAATGTCCTCATACTTTGAAGCGATAAACATGCTCAAAATACCAGTCAAATGGAGTTCAGAGGAAGGCTGGGGTTCAGTTTGCTTTTTGAAGTATCTATCCATCAGATTTACTGCTAGGAAATAGGTTTGATCAGAATTTTTGAATGTTGTGAGGACCTCTAGCATCCAATCAACCATTTTGGCTCTGTAATCTGCTTAAATCTGATGTATACTTAAGAAGCCTTCTTGGTCTACTGATTTCTCTAATCCCTTGAGATGGAAGTGGATGTCCTGGCCATAGTCATTGAGCAAAGTTTGCTTAAGTGTAAGGCGAATCTTAGGTACTGATTTGCTTCTTCTAACAAGTGAGTGGTTGGTTGAAGAGGAAGCAGTTGTGATAACTGATGAAGCTCCTCCCAAATGAGTCACAAATTTATTCTCGCTTACTCTCTTGCCATGGACTGGGACTCTAACAGCTCCTTTAAAGGGAAATTGCTAGTTTTAGAATCCTCCTTCGATTGATCTCTTAAGGGGATGCTGTCTTTATGGCTAATAGTTGATCTAGAGTTGATTTAATTTCTCGGCGAGGGCTAGCTGAGGCATTAGATTGTGGTAGAATAGTAAATTAGAAATAAGTTAGTTAGTGATTTGAATTAAATAATTATAGTAATTTGAGAACTTATACTGCATTAACCTTTCAAAATTAAACAGATTATTCACATTTTCTGATAAATTATCTTTTTACCTTTAGCTTACATTTTTTAACTGGTAGTTATCCGGGGTTTTGGGGTTTTGGGGAGATCGGAAGA